AAGAAGAAGATTTCTTTATCCTTGAAACTGATGCTTCAAATAATTATTGGGGAGCAGTATTAAAGGTTAAAAAGAATCATAAAGAATATAAATGTGAAAAGTATTGTTCTCGTCCTGAGATACTTGCAGGTTATACATCAGGAACATTCAAAGAAATTGAAACGAGATATGATACGAACAGGAAAGAACTCATTGCTGTAAAAAGGGAAGTTCAAAAATATGAAGATTATTTATTACCAAAAAAATTCTTGATTAGAACTGATAATACTCAAGTTAAAACTTTTTTGAAAAATAATGTTGATCCATCTATTGCCAATAGATATATTATCAGGATACAAATTTGGTTTTCATACTTCAAATTTGATATTGAATACATAAAAGGAAAAACTAACTTTCTTCCTGATTATCTCAACAGGGATTGAATTAGAGCAACTAAGGACGAAAGTCCAAATACTTGAGATAAAAGTTTCCTATTTGGAAGCACAAATTCAAAATATCCAAGATAGCCTTCAAGGCAAAAATAAAACCCTTGAGGCAGAAGTAATTTGTACCAAGTCTAGTATTCCTTCACAAGGATCAGTAAATACTAGCGCTCTCCCCGAGGATAAAGGAAAAGAGAAGAAAGTAGTAGGAACCCCTTCACAGGGAATACTTAAACCTATTACTGGTAATAAAGATATCAAAATTCCCATTAGGGAAAATATTCAAAATATCAAAAGCAAAGGTAGCTCTTCACAGAGCCAAACACAAATCTAAACTTTCTATTGAAAGAATAGATCCAAAAAATATTGTCAAAATATGCATGAGGCAAAATTTCCCAAAAAAAGATAACCATGAAGAAGTCATATTTTTTATTGTTATTTTTAATGTTTTATCAGATTGATATCTGGAGATCAGAAAGTGGATGAAAACTCTCCACTATTCAAAATACAACAAGATAAACTTCTATCGAGGAGTACCAGCCAACTGGGTACGAAACTGTTTTGAGATAGGAAATATACCCTGTATATATCTCAGCAAAGATTTCAAAAAAATAGCCCAACTTTCGACCAACGTCAGGAAGGCTGTTAAAAGATATACTGAAATAGTCAAGACAACAAACATATACATCAAATTCCATTCAACAACTATGAGATGGGATCCCGTTCTTGAATATATACATCCATCATTCCATGTTATTAAAATGGGACTTACAAACCAACATTTTTTACCAACCAGTCAAAAGGTAGTTAAAAATAGATACCAAAATATTATAAATATGATGCCCTATAGAAGAGCAAAAGGGTACAAAGAAATATTTGAACATGTAACTCAAAAACATATACATCAAATTCCATTCAACAACTATGAGATGGGATCCCGTTCTTGAATATATACATCCATCATTCCATGTTATTAAAATGGGACTTACAAACCAACATTTTTTACCAACCAGTCAAAAGGTAGTTAAAAATAGATACCAAAATATTATAAATATGATGCCCTATAGAAGAGCAAAAGGGTACAAAGAAATATTTGAACATGTAACTCAAATTATTACTGAGAAAGAAAAAATATGGATTTATCCATCTGAAGACCATGTAATCTACTCCAATACAAGGATGGTTACGAAGGAAGAAGATATATGTTATCTTGACCAATTATTATCCGCAATTATCTCAAACCAAGTACATGGATCAGAAGATATGACGAAAAAACTATGCAAACTACTCTGAAATTACAATGACCACCATTGTGAATATTGAGTAGTAGAAGATATGAGTCAAGCATCTCTCAACAATGAAGAATTTCCTGTAGAATTCTTTGATTCGAAGATGAAAAAGTGATAGTGACAAAAGTGGCCTTTTATCACTACTTTAATAAAGAAATTTATTAAAGAAAAACTGTGACTACTAACAGACAGAAGATAGTGCAAGAAAGTCTCCATAATTGTGACCACTCACCTACTGGTTGTCATAAGTGGAATACAAAATCAAAGATAAGGCAGATAATTGCAAAAGAGAAGTCCACTTAGCAAGAAAATAATGGAGAAATCGGTGGAGATAAGGTTACTGAGTTGCCCAACAAAAGAAAGGAGGATATAGCTGTCAAGATAAAATTTTCAAAACCTTCTATGAAAGGAGGCAAGAAGAGAAAGTTGAGATATATCTTGAAACAACTTATCTCTAAAACACTCTGAGGAAACACATCTCAAATATTTTGCAATCTGTATATATACCACTTGTATTCAAAAATATTAGATAGTCCAAAGATAGCAAAACTTGTAATAAGGTAATCACTTATAAAGTTCTTCATAAGGTGAGTACCAAAGGTATGTAAATATAGATTGTAAGCACGTACTATTTCAATTTATGAATATTAAAGTAAAATTTGTTATGCTCAATAAAACTTTTATAAAAGAATTTCATTAAGTTTCTCATGATTCTTCGGCAGTACAGATAGAGATTTTCAAAGATTTTCAAAACGTTGATTTTGAATGAATGTAAGCAACGCCAAAGTACCCGTATTTGATGAATATTTTAGAGGGAAAAGACAGTTTTCTAACAAAATTGTAGTACTTTGTGTGTAAGTTATTTTTTAAAATTTCATTTCAAGTAAGAACTTAATTTTGAAAATAGTCTGAATAAAAGTGAAAATAGAAACTCTGAATACTGTGAGATAGCGTCCGTAAAGACACGACTAATTCTCTAAAATGAAAAATGCAACCTTAATTGAAAAGATTTCAAAATGAGAAGGATACATTTTATAAATAATAAAAGTAAGGATAAAATAATATTTCTAATGGTAATGGTAAAGGACATTATGAAAAATAAAATCAATATTACAGTCATTCAGAAGACTGTCCCACCTTTTCTATGCCTTTTCCATATACTGTTGGACTATCCAAAGTAAATATGACTCGTCAAAGTTGATATTTATTCAAGATATTTTTGCAGCAACTAGATATTTATGCGCTCACATCCTCCACGAGATCATTATCCATGTTGAAGAACAAAATTACGAATCTTACGGCATAGGCAGTTAATTCGTAAAAACCTCAATCTACTTTCATTAACGGAACTCTTGTAAATATTGATTTAAACAGATAGACAAAGTAAAACTGCGATTAAGATCTGAATAAAGACGGTACCAGGAAACAATAAACCCAAACAAACTACAATTGAAAATACTGATCAAACTACTGTAATCATAAGGACTTAGTTCCAGTTTCCATCAGAACCGCCCCCGCTTCGGTAGCCACGGTCACCACCCCCGTATCCACCACGACCACCACCCCCATAGCCATTGCCCCCGCCATAGCCTCCCTCACGGCGGCCATAGCCTCGGCCACCGCCACCGCCACCGCCACCGCCATAACCTCCCTCACGGTGGCCCCCACGGAATCCGCCACCTCCGCCGCCACTGCCGCGGGACTGTGCCTCGTTTACGGTTATATTACGGCCCTCAAGATCCTGGCCGTTCATCCCCTCGATGGCATCTCTCATTGACTGCTCGTCCTTGAAGGTAACGAATCCGAAACCCCTCGATCTTCCGGTCTCACGGTCATTCACGATCTGTTCCAAAAGACTAACAATTCAGTCAAATCTAAACAGATCTAGAGGTAATAACTAAAAACAGTTAAAACAACTATAAATAAAACTGAAAAGCAATTCGATCTTCATCCCTTTAGTGTAAAAGAGGAAGATGGAACGTACCATTTCAGGAGTAATAATAGTAACAGAAAAGTAACAGTAACATGAGTAACAGTTTAGAGGTCGACAAAACCGAATCGGATCGGATCCGATCTCTGCGACAAACAGACCTTGGAATCGACGACTACGCCGAATTGAGAGAAAGCTTGCTCTAGTGACTCGTTGCTAGTGGACCATGCGAGTCCACCGACAAAGCATCTATACTCAACATCTGCAGCAGCCATTGATGCAAATTCTTTTGCAGATGGAAAAACGAAAATGGGAGAAAAGAAAAAGACGGAAGAAAGCCCGCCTCAAAGAAAATGAGCGATAAAAGTGGGTGGGGGAAAGGAGTGTTTATATAGACGTGCGAGGCTAGGGTTTAGATAGGGGTTTGCAAAGGTAAGGGAATAAGGATGTGCTCATTGAGCTTCTTGGTTTTAGGTTAGGATTGGCTGTGAGCGTAGATATTTTAACTTTTATAAAAAATTACAACTTCAGTCCTCCAAACCTTTTCATATAAAGCAAATGGATCTCCAATTAATTTTCATCTTCTTTAAGGCCCTGTATGATTGCACGAAATTTTTCATGGAACTTGGAATTCGAATTCCAACTTTCACTTTTTGTCTGTTTGATTGATAAAATTTTTCAGGGAATTGATTTTTCATGAATTTCTAGGTACAACACCTTAAAGCGTGATTTTCCACCTTTTATTTTCCTAGGGTAGGTGATTTTTGGTTTTCCATCTTTTTTTTTTTTTAATTGTTGGAAATGGGAACAAATTTTAGGAACAATTGTAAAAGAAGATATTCCTGAAATTGACAATTTTCATGTAAAACAAAACCAAATGAACACCAAAATATAGATGATTTTTTGATCTTTTTTTTCCTTTTTTTTTTGGTTGGCAATGAAAACAAATTCTAGGAACAATAGTAGAAGTGGGTATCCTTTAAATTGACAATTTTCATATAAAATAAAGCCAAATGAACACCAAAAAAACACTTTTACTTCAACATTTTTCACGTGAAAAATTATACCAATCAAACACAATAATTTACAATTCCCATGAAAACAATTTCTAGATAATTCAATTACCTGGAATTCATTTTCTTTCCATCCAAATTTTATCTTCGCAATCAAACAAACCCTAAATTCCAAATGGAGGATAAGATCGATGTTTAGATCAAAAAATTATGAAGTTTGCACTCTATTTTACGTTCCACAACAAAAATAATTCTCTAGCGATTGATTTGCATCCCAATTTGGCACCCCAACATAAGATCATTATACAACTTGAATTCAAAAATAGTCAAATCAAGAAAATTCACGTAATATAAATTACATAATTTAAATATCTTATCACACATGGAAGGTATTTATATGTCAATGTCAAAGTTTAGATATTACATGCTCAACTTCGCATAACTTGAAACAAGAAACAAGAACCAACACAACAATGTAAGCTCCTGTTTGTTTAGATAAAAATTATTATTTGGTAATTTTTTTTTTTCTTTTTTAAATGAGTTTTAAGAAATGGAACCAAAACATGGGCTAAAACAAAGCTGTGAAGTATCTGTACGGCTGTAACTGTAGGCCTATACAGCTAAGCCCAAATCTTTTTGAAAACCCATTGGATCAAGGGACACAGCTCAATCTGTGGAATTGAAAGGTCGGCTTTATCTGCCCCTAGTCCAGTTTTTGGGCCTCTAGTAGTCTACGAGGAGGCCGAAGACCCTTCCAGTTTCAGCATCACTATTTTAGATTATCCTTAGTTGAACTTTCCCCTCTAACGTCTGTTTGGTGAATATTAAAATTTATAATCTAATTCAAAATTAACAATTAATTTTAACCATATTTAATGGGATCTCCAATTTTTTTTAATCACATGTTTCATCAACCTTTATCAAAATCTATTAAAAATTTTATTTTAATCTTCATCGTACAAGAACCTAAACTTATTTCAAAAACCTTACTTCTTGAACCTTCTAATGCACTTAAATCATGACATCACTCCACCTTCTATTTTCTTTAGCTTTAGCCACATTATAGAAATGGATATTTTGGAAATAGGAAGGACAGCAATTTAGCCCGTTGGGCCCCCATTTATTCTCCATTAAATTATAATTTATTTTTTCCTCTCTTTTTATCAATTACACATTTTTTAATAAAATAATATTACACGCAAATTCAAAAAAAAAATCCTTCTTTTTAACCATACATTTTCGAAAAATTATTATTCCTCTCATTATAATAGGACCAAACATACGAAAAAAAATATTTTATTTTTATTTCAAGTATATAATGCATTTAAATTTAGAATAAAGATACATCCATCGATTTATAAGAGACTCTAATGTAAAACCTTCCGTATTAAATAAAAAATTGGAAAGATTAGTGATTGTTGGTACTTCTAATCATAAAATAATTACACAAAGAGCAAAAAAAAAAAAAAAAAATTATATCTCTAATGACACTTCATTTATTAATCTTGAAATTATCTATAAACAAGCAAATAAAAGTCAAATCATGGATCTGACAACTGGTTCATGATCCCACGCTTATTTGCCACCAACAAGTCTAACAATTTTCATAATTATATACAGAGAAAAATAATAATAATTCTATCAGTATACTTTATTAAAGTAGTTCAATATAATATTATTATAAGAGTCGGACGATGTCATAATCTAGTATAACTGATGATCATCTGTCTTGTGTTTTAGCAGTTGAGACGTTCAAATTTTTTAATTAATGGGGTATTTGAATCACATTATTTTGGTAATAATGTATTCTTGAATAATGTATTGATGAGAAATGTGTTGTTAAAAAATAAGGAAACATTTTTGATTTGCGTGTAATATTATTTTATTGAAAAATGTGTGGTTGAAATGATGTCAAATGACTGTTTAAGAATATATTTTTTTTTTAATAATTTGGTTCAAACAGACCCTGAAAGACTTATGTATAATCTTTCATTCGAATTCGAACGTTCAACTCGAATTTGAAAAATATAATAATCATTAGAATATGAATTTTTTTTAATTTGTTCAAAAGCAAATTGCCAGAATATGAACTGAAAAGTAGTAGAAGTGAAGGATCTGTGAACTGGATCAGATTTGGGAAATTAAAAATAACAAAATAATATTACTCAATCATGCTGTATAGCAAAGGGTATCTACACACGTGTTTGTATTTATATATTATATGTGACAGCCAACTTGTAAAATATGTGTACATTGCTAGAGCCAGAGGCATTAACGGGTGCGAATTGGAAGGAAATCAAGGTAAATATTAAGGTGATAATAATATATTTTTTTAAGAAAATATTAACATATTAATTATGTTGAGAAATACTTTATAAAAGAATAATTAATTATATCCACCCCCACAAAATTATTTCTTACGCCACATTTTAATAGCACTTAAGAAATTTTTTAATTTTTTTAATTTTTATAATACTTATGCCCGTAAGGATTTTTCAAGTCATTCTTATCCTCAACTTTTCATTAGTCAACACATTTTATATTTAATAACAATTTTACGTCCAAAAGTCTAATGAAATGGTGTAAAACAACTTATTTTCCCATCATATATTGAAAAATAAATAAATAAAAATGCGTAAAAGATATTTTTTCCTTGTTTCAAGGTATGAAAACAAATTAATTTGATATGAATCATCATTCAAGACAAGAAGTATTAATTAATGAAAGGTTGTAAATAAAATTTCGATGAAAATGGTTGAATGAATAATTTCTATGATGAATAAAGATTGAAGAGTTTAATTGCAATTAAAATGAAGTATAACAAATAAAAATTGTTGTGTCAATATAATCATCCTTTTTGTAAAACTACCACTTTTTTTAGTTTGATAATGTTAACAAAGTTTACGGCCATATTGATACATTTGCAGATTACTGGTCAAAGTTGAACGTGTATTGCACGTTATTCTAAAATACTTCATAAATGATATAAAAGTAATATTTGGTACCAATTTGTTAGCGAATTTGATGAGTCTTGACAAATTAAAAATAAAATAAAATTTAGCATAGAAATTTAAGAAAAGAAAATTGTACTCTCAAAACTCAATTTTTTTTATACAAATTTTTGTAATGATGAAATAATATAAATGAGCAATCTTTTTATATTATATTTGAGACATGAAAATTAATTGTTAATACATAAATTTAAACATTCATTAAAATTTCTAGATATATGAATATGAATAAATTCATCCATAATAACTCTAGACTCACGTAATTTAAGATTCATCAAGTGAAAATACATTAAATATATGTTAATGTGAATGTTAGTTAATTGAGAATTAATAACACAAATTTCATAGATGACAATAACTATGTAGTATTTATTACATATCGAAAAACGAAAAGTAAGGTATTAAAAATAATTGAATTGTAGGAGGGTTAAAATCGTCCAAAAAATGATTATCCATTGATGTGATATTTTAATATTATTAATTAATATATCTTTGTAGATTATAGATTAGTGTAACTACTATTTAAGAACCTTTGAATTGTGCTTTCATAACATTTTTTCTCATCAGATAAAAAACTTTAATAATATAAATTCAATTTTATCCCACATCCAAGTTATGTCCGAAAGACCTCCACTCTACATCTCAATACCAATCATTCAATCCCGTCTCGTGATAAAGTGGGTAGATATTTGAACAAATCCATTATTTAGTGATGATCATTATGGGGGAAAAACAAAAATTCTTCTTTGATCTTGAGTCACCCTACGTCTTATTTATTTTTTGTCTAAGACCCTCAATTTGTTTAAGCTATCCCCAGCACCCTACATATTTCCCACTTCCACCTTAACCTGGTTCTTGCTATAGAGGCGTGAGCGGATGTATGCAATAGAAGTCGTAATGATATGGTCAAGTTCATAGCAGAGTGTTCAGTGAACTAAAATATTTGATGAATTGCGCTAATACATAAGAAAATTAAAAAAAAAAAAATCAACATTTTTGTTTGCTCCCCTAAATACGCCCTACTTGAGTCCACGAGGAGTTTGTTAGCACAATTTTACTTATTTTCAAAATGAAGAAGTAGGCGCGTCAATAGTATAGGTTTAAAGCGATGAATTTGAATGCTTATTATTATTATTATTTTAAATTTAAAATGAAACGAACAATTATCTTTTTACCAACTCCCTATAGAGCAAGTGGCAGGTCCATATTCAAATGTGAAATTATGTTGAAAGACAGTTTTCTAATAACATGCACTGAAACCCAATGAAAGTGAAAAGATTCTTTGAATTTGATCAAGTTTGTGGAATTAAAAATATAAGAGAACATAGTGTCCTCAAGCGTGCCATATAGCAAGTAGATGTAAATGCCCACTTAAGGATGAAAAACGAATAAAAT